CATTTGTTCAATTTTATTGCTTAAATGTGACAGCCCCTTCGGTGGCTCACTCTGTGCTCTCCACTGGGTCTGAAGTATAGCATGTTAATATGACCCAAGTTTGGTGCTGCTCTGCGGGGCGTTTATATATGTCCCATACATGATGTTGTACCGAGTGAATTGACTGAAAGGGAACGTAATGTTATGCATATAACTACTGTTCCCTGAAGGAAAGGAACGAGGTACAACACATGGAGGCCCCGCTGCACAGCTGGGCTCGGTGAAGAGCAGTATAACTAAGGAGTGACGGTGATGCGACAATATTTATATGTGCAGGCGGAGCCTGACATCTGTCGTCATCACGTCACCTGCCTAAAGGCGTGATTAGAGGTGGCTTCAGCCAGGACACGCAGGGGCGTGGTTCCCATACATGATGTTGTACCGAGTGAATTGACTGAAAGGGAACGTAATGTTATGCATATAACTACTGTTCCCTGAAGGAAAGGAACGAGGTACAACACATGGAGGCCCCGCTACACAGCTGGGCTCGGTGAAGAGCAGTTACTGAACTGAGGAGTGACAGTGATGCGACAATATTTATATGTGCAGGCGGAGCCTGACATCTGTCGTCATCACGTCACCTGCCTAAAGGCGTGATTAGAGGTGGCTTCAGCCAGGACACGCAGGGGCGTGGTTCCCATACATGATGTTGTACCTCGTTCCTTTCCTTCAGGGAACAGTAGTTATATGCATAACATTACGTTTTGCTGCTGATAAAGATTAGATTCTCTTCTATAAACGTAAATATTACACATAAATAGACTCAATTTAATGAAACAGAATTGAGTCCAAATATAAAATGTACTTTTAAATCCTCCATTGAAAGTGCCTGTGACATGCACTTCTTTTAAATACAAAAAGTAAAGAAAACCCTTTATATTTAAGAAACTTGACATAATACACTCACTTTTACCCATTTTGACACATAACTGGTATATTTTCTTTTGAACTTGGCTCAGCCAAAATGAAACAGGAAGTGACATCAAAGGGGAACTCTTTAAAAAGTTTAACTCTGTGGTCTTTGTTGATTGAAACATTATTTGAACTCTGACTCTTCATCTCTCTGATAATAATAAAAATAATCTAAACAAACATCAGATTCTTCTCTACAGTCTGTTTTTAGTTGTCGAAGCGATGCTCTGTTCACATGCAGACATTTCACTGTGACATCACTTCCTGTTAGTTCACACGCAGATATTTTAACAACTGTTCATCTCAGCGGCGTGAATTTTATTTTGCAATATATTATTAATGTTATCTTTCAGAAATTGCAATCATATTCATTACAAAAAACTGATGTCACAGACACTTTAAGGGTTACTTTAGATTTGTTTGAATAGCCTGTTTGTGTTTTTCTCTGCGGGTGATGTTTCTTGTGTTTGCAACAAAATGCACGAAGCTCAGAAATATAATAAAAAAATGAAAGTTTGGCTTCTTTTTAACTTTGCTTCTTTCTGTGTTTGTCTTTGGTCCGTTCAGCCGTCCTCCAAAGAAGGACTTTGTGGAAGTGACAGAGCTAACAGACGTAACATACATCAGTAACCTGGTGAAACTGAGGCCGGGTCACATTAATGTTGTACTGGTGCTCACCAACGCTTCCAAGAATGCCTTGCTGAGGAAATATGCCAAGGAGGTTTTCTCTTTCTCAGGGTAAGTCACTTTTAAAGGACGTATAATTAAGAGAATTTATTTTCTCTGGTAAAACGTAGCAAATCTTTCATTCACTAACGGTCTGTTGACCCCTCAGCACCCAGACGCTCCACTTCTCCTTCCTCAACACTGACAAGCACCGCCACTGGATGCCTTCCCTCCTTCACTCGGCCGGTCATCCTGGAGAAAGCGAGAGCCACTCCGAAGACGAGGAGTCCTCCGACTACACTGGCCACGTTCTGGCTCTGAACGGCTACAAGAAGTACTTCTGCCTCTTCAGACCCGTCTTCACAGGAGACGACTCGTCGTCCGAGACCTCCGCTGCCTCCGACAGCAAGAGGAAGTCCCGTTCCAGGTCCAGGACGAGCTCCCACTCTCGCTCGCGCTCCCATTCCAGGGAGGACGGGGCGGCGCCAAGAAGGGGCTCGAGCAGAGCTACGAGCCTAGAAGTCCACCACAAGCTGGACAGGCTGGGAGTGTGGATGGAGAGGCTGATGGAGGGCACGCTGCCCAGGCTGCACGTCCCTGCGTGGCCCACGCTCAGCGAGGACTCCCCCTCCACAGAGAGCTGAGGTCAGAGTAAGAACTGTTGGGGGTTTCGCCCTCCTTATTGGGTATCTGCAGAGCAATGTTGTTGTTTTCAGAATGCTTTTTTTTTCTGTTTGGCATATGTAGGTTGGCACTGAACTGTTGGCACTGACAGTAGCAGCAACACCTTGCAGAGGAGTGTTTGGGTTACAGGATTGCAAATGATCATATTGCTGTTTCACATCCAAACACAGTCTGTGTGCCTCATAGCACAGACRTTTGCTGAGGCTAACACCTGGTGTGTTTTTAGAGGCACACCAGTGGCTACAGTAAGAAAACACTCAGTAGTTTCCTGACAAACTGTTAACACACAAAACTGTAAAAAAGTGCAGATGCGTTCTTTTTGATCCTGCAAAAGTTTTTTTGTTTGTTTGTTTGTTGTTTTTTTATATAAATGTGCTCAGAAAATGCATGAACATTCACAAAGCTTGGTTTTCAGTTTCTTCTTAAGCCATGACTGAATGTAGAAGCCACTGTTTGCACCACAGCTAAACAGATAAAGAGATTTCAGCTTCACCAAAAGGGAATTTGGTATTTTTCGCCATGAGTGTGATTATTTTATGTTCTCACTTCAAGAAACAAACGAACAAAACAACTAAATAATGACAAATAGCAGTCTTATACGGTATGAAGTAATGCCAACATAAAAAACAAGGTCAAAATATAATTTTTTTTTTAAAAAGGATTAACGGTTTAGCTATAATTATAGGAATGCGTTTTATCGGCTGCTTTTTTGTGTTGTTTGTAAATGAAATGTATTACTTCATCTTGCAACATGTGATAGCACTCAGACTCAGCTGCTACCACACCAACGTTTGTTCAATTTCTGCAAAAAATGACCTAAATTTGCTAAATTTGATTAGCTGTGGCAGCCATTTTGAATGGGGGTTACTCCAAAGGTTAATCAGTTAAAGATGGACATTCAGTAATTAATCTTGAAGAGTTTCATTGGAATTGGTCCAGTGGTTCATGACATACTTTGCTAACAGATGAAGTTGACTGTAATGGTTAATGCCAATGATTTAAAAAGCAGATTAGCACTCATTTTATGTGTTGGGAATAACTCTCAACTATGTACGCACCAATAATTAGCTAAGTAACTGTAAAATTGACTGCATTATCTTCATCTTTGTGTTTGCTAAGCTTCCTTAGCTGTGGTGGCCACCTTGTGTTATGCTGACTCCAAGTCTTAATCACTTTTAGAAGTGCAGCCAATATTTGTATTGTGAAAGTTTCATTTAAATTCAAGCTCTTTTTCAGGAGATATTTTGCTAACACACAGACATGATGTCACCTTCAGCAGCAGACAATAATCTCTGGAAGCCTAAAGCCACATACTTTGTGACTGAAACTCTAAATATATTTTATCTTTTTCAAACTATCTCAGCAGGGTCTTGCAGCACATCATGGTCTTCCTTATGTGCAAACATATCAATTATTTCAGAGTATATTGTAAAAACCCCAAGAAAGAGGGAACATTTGAAGGAACAAGCTTGAGGACATTTTATGTTCAAGTCTGTTTTCCTCCCTTTTTCCACTTTTCCCAGTTTGTTTGCAGATAAAGGTGACGTGTTTTATTGTGCTCTCCTGTAACTGCTGTCATTTATTTATCAGGTGAAGTCATGCAGAGGAGGAAAGATGCTGCTGGGTTTTTTTTTTTTTTGCACTATTTCAATTATTTAAAACACACAGGCCTCTAAAAGTGTACTTTATGTTTGGAAACAGTGCTGACATTTTGATTTTAGTTCTGTTATGATGAAATATTTCTGCCAGAGACATCCAGACTTGGATTTTTTTTCTTCTCCTTATTTTGTCTGAGGCTCACTTTAACCACATTCTTGTCTTAGCTCTGAATCAGGAAGAAACAAGATATTTCATCATATTTAACGGTCTCTTTACGTGATCTTGTAAGACGTAGATGGACCTAAAAAATCAGATGATTTAATTGAGTAAATTTTCAGTGGCAGCTTAAATGTTTGACTCTTATATTTGTTTTAATTTCTCTGCTATTCAACAATAAGCTGTTCAGCAAATGCAGCACACTGATGTAAAAAAATGTCCTGTTTGTCCTCTGAGCCTATTTGTTTTAAAATGTCAAATCAACCTTTTCAAAGCTGCTTATTTATTAAAATGTGTGAACTATAATTTCTTCTCTGCTTCCTTAAACTAATAAATATTTTTACCAACAATATTTGTGCATTCATTATCATCAAATAGGTATAAAGATCACAAAATAAAACAAATCCTTTTTTCCACAATTTCTATTATTACAACATGGATACATTTGAATATTTACAATTATCAGGCGAGACAAGCACAAATATAACCACTGCGAAACGTTTTGAGCTCAGTACTCATTGGGAATGTTGAACACTTTCTTCATGGACATGTCTTCAGGGCCAAAGGAGGCGGGCAGCAACTCGTCCACGGTCATCCTCTTATACGAGCCGTCAGGCTTCGACAGGTAGACGTCCCAGTCGGACCCAAACTGGTTGAAACGAGGAAGAAAACTGGTATTTGCTTTTTCTCAGCACATACTCATGAACACAGAGACATGTTAATAGAAAACCAGCATTTGCAAATGTTTTACTCAGTTTACTGCCGCCCCATCTTTAGACAAATAAAACCAAGATGAAACATTAATTCTTCCCCGATGACTTTATAACCTGAATCTACCAGACTACAAGGCTTCCTACCTCTCTCATGAACTGCCTGCAGCCTCCACACGGGGAGATGAACTGCTCACACAGGTCGCTGCAAAAGAGCAAAAAATGGGGCACAGAACCAGTAAAAACTTGTATCGCAGGTGTTCAGAAGTTTAATGATTAAACGGTCTTTTCCACATGTGGGCCTGAATGTGACCTGATAGGTCAGGGATGCCCAGTCCTAGTCCTCAGGGGAACACTATGTTCCCTGTTTGAGATCATGTTTTCAAGTTCTCCACAGGTCCAATACTCACTCAGTTATCCAAATCAAGAAGTCAAATAAGAAAAGCATCTCACGGTTCAGACATTTTTCTTTGTCGGTGGATAATTTTTTTAAAGGGATTCATGATTAGTTGTAACATTCGACTTTATTTAATAAACATATATTTTAACTGTAAAATAAAGACTGTAAGAATACTGTAGGATGTTCAGTTTTTATCATTTTTAAACTAAAAGTTTAGTTTAAAAATGGTTCAAATGAAGCTGAGGTGGTTCTTCCATGAAGCAGCTCTGTTGTCCTCCATCCATGTTTTCATTTACAGGCTGAGTCATTTCTACCTTCTCCTCTCTGTCAACGCTCTCTGGTTTCATTTAAAAGTGTCGATCATCAGACATTGTCCAAGATTAACCTTCAGGGTGGATATAGCTCGCTCACACCGAGGGCCTATCGTTTACCCAGAATGCTTTGTGTGTAAATAAAATGGCTCTGTCCGTGTTAAAATATATATATTTTTAAATTTACAAAACTAAACATCCTACAGTATTTTTACAGTCTTTATTTTACAGTTAAAATATATGTTTATCTAATAAAGACTAATGTTACAACTAATCAGGGATCCCTTTAATCCAATGCTTCTCTGTTTTGACACCCCTTTAAAACATAGGACTATGGCATCAAGGACCAGGACTGCACACCTCTGTTTTAGGTTATTTAAAGAGGGGATGATTTTTTTATTACATATTTTTTAAATTTTAGGTAATACAAGTCTTGTGATACACGATGACGATAGGGTTGGACACATCTAACGCGGAGAATAATTGAGCTCCCCACATCTTGTCAGTCAGAGGCTCCAATACCTGGCGATGGCGATGGCCTTGAAACTTCTGTATCCCTCCGACACGGCCTTGGAGATGGCTGTCCTTTCAGCACACAGTCCCAGATTGTAACTTGCATTCTCCACGTTGCAACCTGTCAGAGTAACAAAGAAGAATGATTTAAAGGGGATCAAGCAGATTCTTAGAAGTAGGGTTATGAACAGTTAATAACTCATGTGTTTATGACAGCTCTTTACATGAACCGAGTTTGACGTTAGATGGTTTTTCAGGCTAAACTGCTGCTTGCAAGTGCGTCTTAATAACTGTACAGTTAAAAAGTACAATCTGTTGATTCAGCTTTACTTCTCCAAGCTCAGGTAAATATATAACCTCTCTTCAAAAGCTCTAAACTTTCACTTTACTGTATGTTTTGTACAGTGAGGTCCTTACACCCTAAAAAGTGGGTGGGTGGTTTATTTACTTCTGGTCTATTCAAATAACTTTGGTGGGGGGGTCTTTGGACTCCCATATTTGCCCCCTCGCTCCCTCCTCACACCACACACGTGAGGGGACAGGTGACTTTCCTGTACAGTCACGCTGACAGGAGCGTGGTGTCTCTGACATCTCTCTGTGTGTAAACAGAGGTTTGATCCACAGACAGAAAAGCAGTGGAGTCTTTCCTGAAACGTTCCAGATGGACTGCTCCGCGCAGGACGAGAAACTTTCCCATCTGGGTTTTCCTCAGGTTTAAGTCATTTGAACTGTGAGGTAATTACTAACACAAGTGTGAACAACAAACCAATGTATAGCTGCTCATTTTATGGAAAAAAAATGGAAGTAAAACTTAAAATCTAAGCTCTGTTCCTTGAAGCAACACATTCACAGCTTTTAGACTACATAAAATAAAAGCAATAACATGTCTTCACACAGATAAACAGTTAGAGTTGCAGCTCACCTGTGAACACGGTGTTGTCAAAGGTCATGAGAGCAGCTCCCACTCTGAACTTACTGTACGGACAGTAAGATTGTTTTTTTGCCTCCTGGGACTGAAAGATCAGCTTTTTAACTGTTTCTTTGCACAGGTCTTTTGAGTTTCGATGCATGATGTCCCGTCCAGATTTGACTCCATCCATGTTTGCTCTTGTTTTTTTTTCTTTCTTTTTTGTTTTGTTTTTAGTTTTGTTTGTAGGCTTGTTTTTGTGCTGGTGAATGAGCCTTTTGTGGCTTGGCTTTAAATGTGAATGGGACAGAGGGGAGACGGGGAGAGGGTGCAGCCACAGCCAATCGTTGACTGCTGTCATGAAGGAAGGGGAGGCGGTTCTGTTGGGTTCTGTTGTTGGAACGATTAATGAGTAGCTTGTGTGTGATGCTAAACAAGAGCTGCTAACTTRCCTGGTGTAAAGTCAATGGAAAACTATTTACTTTGTGACCAAAGTCAATAGAGTCAGTCTGGGAAAAAAAACATTTTCTTTTTTTTATTTTTAAAATCCATTTTTTACATATTTAGAAGAAAAATAGCTTCAGGGAAAGAAAAAAAAATGTCGAGTACATAACAGCTGTAGCATGTTTTGAAACAAGACTTGACAAATACTGTTTAATGTGTGCATTTAGCCAGTTTACAATATTCAGAGTAATCTGAATGAGAAATGCCTGCGTATTAAATTCACCTTGTGGCTTGAAGAAAATAACTTAAAGGGATCCATGATTAGTTGTAACATTAGACTTTATTTAATAAACATATATTTTAAATTTTTATATTTAAAATAAAGACTGTAAAAATACTGTATGTTCAGTTTTTATCATTTTTAAACTATAAGTTTTAAAATATATTACACAGCCAGGGCCATTTTATTTACACGCAAAGCATTCTGG